TCATTGTTGCATTGCATTTGCAGCATATTATGCACAGGTCATTAAAAAAAAAAAAAAAAAAAAAAAAAAATTCTGCCCACTAAACCTGGTCTTTTTTTTCTTTGTGATTCTCTTTATTTTTCAAACACTAAACCTAGTCTTAATGGAGTCCCTGCATAGTGCAAATGGTTAAATATTCAACTACTAACCAAAAGGTGAAAAGTTCTAAGCCACTCAGAAGTGCCTTGGAAGACAGGCCCGGCCATCTACTTCTAGAAGGTCACAACCTTGAAAACGCTACAGAGCAGTTCTACTCTGCACACATGAGGTTGCCCTGAGCTGGAACTGACTCAATGGCACTAACAACAATAACAAAACTGATTTTGTTTAAATGAAATAGAATACTGAAAAAGAGATTCTCCTGTTACTTTATGGTTTTGTTGATCCCAATAGCTCATCAGCATCTGTAACACTCAGTGTCCCCATTTTCTCTACAGTTGCTAAATTTTTATATAAGTCACAACTATATGTGAGTAGTTTTAACTATATTATCTCATATAGGTGTAACCATGCCAATTAAATCAATATAATTAGTGTTGATTATAATAACCAAAAACAACTAAAAGTACACTTGATTACTGTAATTTAAATTCATAGTTACCATCCTCTTTAAGAAGTTTCCAATTTATCTGTTTTGTTGCTTTTTTACACATTTTATCCAATTGTGTCAGTCTTATTGCCTGGTCATTTTTCCTCATTAATTGTTGCTCAAATGCAATTCTGAATGCATCTGCCATTATATAAGCTTCTTCTTTACTCTTCTGCAAAAGTTCCAACTGTTTTTGAAAGAAAGTTTGGGAGGTATTAGAGGCAAAAGCAGAATCATTCTTACCTGAATGCTGAATCAGACTAGCAGTCTCCCTGCTTCCAGTCACGCTCCATGTCTAGCATAGGTCTACTGCCTACCTTAGATCCATCTCATCTACTAGACCAATTAGCACTCACCATTTCTCTGCAGCGGTAGCTGTCCCTCTGAATTAGATCACCAGGAGTTCCTTTTGCAGTGCCTGTCAACTCTCTGCTAACCCAAATCTTGGCCCTCACTATGGAAGACTGGCCTTATGTGTGTCCTGCCTAAATCCCAGGAGAAAGGCCCAGTGAGAAAGAAGAAGTATGGCAAAGGCTATTTCAGTTCCATTCTGTGCCATTCCAGACAATACCACTGAAAATAACTTGAATACCTCCTCTGAATACCTACCATTGCAGACTCTGACTCTGATCTATGTCACCTTATGCTTAAAACCATTTTTTCCCCTCAGTGAACTGCTGTTTAGCTGTTAGCTTTCCATATACTCAAACCAAAAAAAAAAAAAAAAAAACAAACTCACTGCCTTTGAGTTACATCCGACTCATAGCAACCCCTCCTTTGGTTTCCAAGGCAGTATCACTATGGAACTAGATCACCCAACATTCCTTCCGAGGAGTGGCTGGTGGGTTTGAACTGCCAGCGTTCTGGTTAGCAGTCAAATGCCTTAGGCACTATACCACCAGAGCTCCTTCTATATTCTCTGAAGACTTTAATTCAAATTTCCTATGTTCAATAAAGGTAAATGGTTTTAGAATTACAGTCCATGCACTGTATTTGTAATTCAAGCCTAATTATCATTGCAGCTACCACTTGAATAAATGCTTGACATACACATGGCACTGTGCTAAATATTCTATGAATATTTTCCCTATTTCCTGTAACATCCTTCCAAGGTAGTCATTCCCTCCTTTTCAAACTAAGACTTGAGTGGTTCGAGCCCACCCAGGGATGCCAAAATAAATAAATAATAAAATAAAACTAAGACTTGACCTGTCCAAAGTCATACAGCTAGGAAACGATGGAGCTACAATTCAAACTCAGGTTTGTCTAGCATGAAGTTATTTCCCCTATACTTAGCTGCCTTCCTGATTAAGTTTATGTTTCCATTAATCAATGTTGCTTACCCTAGTGATATTAAGAAGCATGAATGTGCCTTTTTCTTCTATTACATAGTAATTTTAGGGCCATGTACAGATATAAGAATTATGAATTTAAAAATATTAAATAAATCTTAGGTAAGCAACTGTACATAGCTTTAGATATTATGCCAAGTACTATTTGTATTTTGGAACTATGTAAACAAAATCTAATTTACAAGTTAATTCTATCATATAAAGCTACATTTAATTCCATAGACAATGATTACAAAAATAAAGTTAATTATTGCAGATACTCCCACTTATTCTACTATCAATAGAGAAACAAAACCAAAGTTTTTGCCGATTTGACAATACAATACCTCTTGCTTGAGCTGAAGGAGCAGTTGGCGAGTGGATGCCGCCATTTTGGCACAGGAACAGGGGCTCCCTCCAGGCCCATGACAAGAGCAGGCTGCCAGGACTGCAAGCTTTAAAACCAAAAGCATTACTCTCATCACTAAGTGTCACAGTGCTTTAGTGAACAAAACACAAGGGTACCTACTCACATACCCACACACTTTACTATTCAAACATCTGATCCAAAGAAACTGGAAAGGAAAAAAAAGATGGGAGAAAGAAAGCTGAGACCAGGATTGAAAGATCAAGGGTGGAATAATCACAAATGAGGAAAGACTATTATTTGGAACAAAAAATATAAAGGAATTTTTCTTTCCTTCTTTTCACTCTTCAAACCTTTAGCCTTGGTACCAGCCTCCTAGTTATGAGTCCTTAACACTTATATCCACATTTTGGATCTACTGCAACTGGGCTTTTCCCTGATAGTAGCATTCACTACTGCCAGCTCCCTCCAGGGAGAACCCCATGCTGAAAACAAGGAGTGTTTTAATGTTAATGAGGAAAACATAATCACCTCCTCCACCCCTAAAAAAGTACTCTGTAATCCTGTAATGTATTCTTACATAAATGTTGGCTGATCCACTATTTGGAATTACCTGCGGCCCTGATCTATCTACACCTGCCTATGCGTCACCATGAAGCATACATGAGTTACTCCTGGTTGTCCACTGTAGCTGGAAGAAAAGTAAGAATTTTACTTCTTTTATCCAGTTTGTCAATTAACCACAAATTAATCCACAAGCAAAGCATACTCCAATTACTACCAACACAAAGGAGGCAGTCTATGCAACAAAATGTGCCGTATCTTTCAAAGTTTCATGTGGAACTTACTATAAAATCATTGTCTGTAGCATAGTGCCTAAGGCATTTGACTGCTAACCAGAAGGTTGGCGGTTCAAATCCACCAGCCACTCCTTGGAAGGAAGGTTGGGCAATCCTACTTCCGTAGTGATACTGCCTCGGAAACCCAAGGAGGGGTCGCTA